ACGAATGTTCAACGTGTCACAGTTAATTGTTTGTTTAAAAAAAGTTCCTGTACTACAATTTATGTATGTTGAAGAATTGTTTTGCACATTACACAAGTGATTAACTTATTTCATGCTCTCCGTAAACTGGAGAGATAATAGTTTTTTGTTGTAGGCTATAGGAAATGACTTGTGGAAATGACACACATAATGCAGTTTTATAACAAAATGGAATACTGTATTTTCAGTTTAGAAACGTATACATTAACAGAAGCACGCAAGAAAGTAACATTGAATTATAAGCGCTGGACTGGAAACATGAAATAGACTTGGTCAGTCGAGGATGATATCCAATATTTTGTCTTTTGCATTAATCTCGACTGATAATTCATGATCACTTAGAGTTCTTTTCATGGCATAAAACGGAGAAACAAAACGCCTAGAGCACTTACGTTTTGACGAATAGTTTATGTAGGGACACCAAGCCAAGAAAGTGAACAGGGATAGAAAAGAGAATGGGTATAGCAATATTATTTACAGACTTATTTCTACACATATATTACAGACTGGGAGAATGATCGCATTATTTAAGATATACATAATTCAATATAAAATCTCGAAATAAAAATAAAAATCTGATACAGTCATAACGATTCAGTTCCACATTTGACCAGTACCCCACATAGGCAGTGACAGAAAGTGTAGTAAAAAGGTGCTTACGACTCAAATGATTGTCTGATGATGAACATAAAGGAAAAGAGGATTGCATCCTGGCTGCTCGTCGTCGCTCGGACTAAAACAGATAAAAAGGCGATGGACACCGATTTCTGGTAATTCCCTCTTCACGGTGGTCCTGGTAGACATAATAAACGTGGGACAGTTCCCCATATACAAAAAAAAAAAATCAAAGAAAAAAATATATATTTAGTTATATATATATCATGCAAGTGATGGGGTGGGGGAAAGGTGTGGGGTCCATTGAAAGCGCTTGAAAAACACGTGCTTTTATGTTTTTTTCTTTTTATAATAGTATTATCAATTGGTCCTTTTTCATCTTCCCCGATAATTAATAGAGTTTATTCAGGTCCATTCTCCTGTATATATTTCTCTGTTTGCGCATCATACGTCGCATTCCGAGTCACTTGATGTTACTGAAAGAATCGACGTGCCCGTGTCGACTCGCTCTGTCATACTGGAGACACTGGTCGTTGGACTCGCTGCAGTCGATGGCGACTCCGCAGAACTGCGTGGAGTGCAGCCGGATTCCGAAAGGGACCGCATGCCATTCTGCCCTATTCCTTGATGCTGGAGCCTATAGCAGAAAAGTGAAAGAATGGAATGCCATTAGAATAGAAAAGTTGTAGGGCCATTTGTTTCACTGAAAATGCGCCTCAATTTGCATTTAATTATTATGCTATATAGGCCTATTAAACATTTAAAACGATAAAATATATATATATAATTCAACTCTAAATATTTGCTTGATCAAGTGGATGCTACAGCTATACAATTACATAAATCCCTGCTACAAGGATTAAGTCTACACACCAAAAGCATATTTATAATCTATCCTGGAGATTTGATTGACTTTTGAATCTTGTAATGATACAATTAAGTTTTCATTTGCATGTTTATATGTTAAAATTAGGTGACGTCAGTTAAAGATGTGTCATAGTTCTTGCTTGTGAGATGTGTGGTCACCCAATCAAGTGCAATTTGTAGATGTATCTATTAAATAATATAAATCAGTTACATCAGTCAAAGTGTGGACTATAGTTTCTGCTGCTTTTTCATTCCCAAGACACATAGTATCTTATTATTTAGTGTTTAGGAAGAAAAATAATTCGACTAGGCTAAATCATCTGAAATAAAACTCACTCTAACTAATTTACGCCGTGTTGTATGTAATATAATTACGAAGTAGTCAAATTTTAGCCTAATCATTTGCACTGTAATGCTTTATTGATAAATGTTGTGTTTTGGCAGGGTTACAAATATTTGTATTTACAATCACATGTTGTAAAACGTGTCTGTGTCTAAGATTATTTGATAAACTACTTTATAGAGTATTTGCATTGACAATTACTTTGGGATTTACTTTTCCAATATTGCAACAGATATGCTATGGGTATAAATTGTTTTTGTTTTCTCCAATTAGGCTTTATTATACATATTTGTATTGTTAACTTTGTATTGTTAGCATCTAAAATTTAAATTTATTATCAATGTTTTTTTTTAAAGATTTAAATATTTGATGTGTTAAACGACAAAAATACTATTTTGTAACAGTGTAAGCACTGCACAACACAATAGCTTTGATGTGGGACCACATACACTTTTAATTATGATATGTTATTTTAACTATTTCAGTTTTCATCGATGAATCAGAGGGAGAAAAATTCCATTGCCTTTTCACACTTTAATAAACAGATTAGCTACATGTCATTTGATCTATTTGCTATTATGCTCTGGTTAAAACTTAACATATTGCACATGACAAATAAAATGTCGTCTCCCTCATTTTTTTGTATGTTTCTGAATCTATTTGATTCTGTTTTTTATACATTGTGTTCACATATATTTCACAAACAGTTAATTTATGAAAATATATTACCAATATTACGAAATAACATTTCCATTGAAAGGTAAACGCATATAACGTGACTGACCTGTTTTTTGCTGCCGCTGCCCTGTCTCGTTGTCTCCGGTTTTTAAACCAATTTCCGACCTGTGTTGGAGTGAGTCCAGTGGCTTGAGCCAGTTCCCTTTTCTTGCTTGGGTTTGGGTAGGGGTCCTGAAGGTACCACTCCCGCAACAGACTCCGCGTTCGCTCTTTGAAACAATGCGTCTTCTGCTCGCCGTCCCAGATGGTTCTAGGCAAGGGAAACTTCTTTCGCACCCTGTACTTATCAACCGGTCCTAGGGGACGCCCGCGTAGTTTCTCGGCCTCCTGATAGTGAGCCTCTAGCCACATTGCTTGTAATTTACCATGCGAGTCCTTGGTAAACTTGTGGTTCTCCAAAATGTGGTAGAGATCACGAAAATTGCCCGTGTGGAAGGCAACCACAGCCCGGGCACGAAGGATGGATTCATGCTTGTTAATCGCCTCGCAAGCACCCGGCGCCACTGGAAGCGACCATAGGAAGCGACCCAGCCGCTCGATGTCCCCGGTCTCCTCCAGCGTCTCGCAGACGCTCGCCACTTGCTCTGGAGAGAAGTTTAAGGTTGGTAGCTGAAACATTGACAAGTCTTCGGGAGACCTGGAGCTGGGCGCACTGCTCGCCAACAGCAAAGGGCGATCAGCAAAGTTTGGCAGGAAGAAATGAGAGGGATAAAGCTCTAAAGGCGATCTGAAAACCATGGAAATGACCTGGGAGAGAATGAAATTTGCGAAGGAAAAAAAGACCGACGAATTCGACCGATTGAATGATTCAATAGCTATCGCCTAATGACACCAGCCTCATAATATCTCCCCCTAAATCCACCGTGAGTGTAGCATTGAAATATTTTGTTTCGCTTTTCTATTGGTCTTCTTGGTGTCGTTGTAGCGTTGTCATGGCAGCCCTGCCAATCACTGTCAAGCGTGCCAATCATTAGCCAGTACGTAGAGGCTTTCACCACTTCGGCTGCACGCACGGGGGGTTATCAGGAACTGCAATCTCAACAGCACCCTCCCTTCCCTTGACTCGTGTGAAGTCGAAGCAGAGTCTCGCCTATTTGTTGAATGGAATGAGCAATTAGAGGGTGGAATATTATTGTGATCTTAACGAGGCTCGTTAAAGTTAAGAAGATATGTAGGGAGAGAAGGCAGGGGTGGGGTTTTGGGATGACAGTCACGGACACGGGAATTTAAATGAAGCGCTAAAAACGGAATCCACGACAGGGTGCAGATAGGCTATTTCATTCTTTAGCGCCTCGTATGAAGCTGGAGAGGATACGATGTTACGCCGGCTCTCTTAACCCATAGCCTAGTAGTAGCTTATTAGCCTTAAGAAAACATGCAATCTAAAACGATGGACATATTTGTTCGCTGTGCCTTATATGCTATCGCACGCCGAAAACTCCCGGATCGTTGTTGTATTTTGCACATCGCATTTCGATGCTATTCTCACACAATGACCGCCGTTTAATAGTGGACGCACACTCCACTGATGCTTTGCACTACTCAGAGACCAAACACTGGCCCGTTGCCCATGCATGTTGGAAAAAAGCACGTGATCATGGATAACTTATTTTTATTTTATTCAACACGTTTTTTGGTAGCTATAGCTATACTTGTATACTACCAATATTGTGTAGCCTACTACTTTTGGGTTGTAAAAACTAGAAAGACTTTTTACAAGAATGAAGGATATAATCTATAATTATGCCACGAGAATCGGCTTCAAAAGGCGTGATGGTATGGGTTGCATGGCTTGCATCAAAGAGTCTGTGCTGTACTATAGCCTATTAGACAGTGCTAGTTCGTATAAAAATGTACGTGTCCACTTGATAAAGAACAATAACCATATTGTGGGAACATAAGCCGCAATATCCAGATTTTCTCAAATTTAGCTAATGTTGACATAATGTAATGCAATTTCCTTGTTCAGGTGTTCAGAACTGTTTCTTTCAGACACTAGCCTAAATTACAAATTATCGAAAGTATAAATTGGATACTTTATTAGCCACTGTCACATAGGCTACTCGCAATGCTCGCGTGTGTGTGTGTGTAACAGAAAGAGGGGCGGGGAAGAGATCTTAATAGAAGTATTGGGTCACCTTCTGTCTCCAGGATCAAATCTGTTTGTTCTTCTGTCACAGGAAACTTAAGTGAAGTAACTCCAAGTGGCACTTGAAGTGGTCCCTCGGAAGGCTTTTTGGACTGGAAATAACCTGTGTTATTTCATTGTAGACTGTATTTTTTAAAACCGCTTGGGATGTTTTACATTTAGAAAAGCTCTTAATTATGCCATATGATACAGGTCCGTCTCGGCGAAAACAGTGTTTGCATAGTAGCCTACGGTTCAAATGTGATTTGGAAAGAGCACTCGCATTTAATGGAAATTGCATAAAAACAGAAAGAACGTGCCAAGTTGCCGTAAAATCACTTTGTTTAACATAGCCTTTGTTTTCATTAAGCAGGTCATTAGCATCCCAAATAACTTCATTCACCTTGTTTAATCGTCTGTTTATCCCCTATAGCTTTCATAGCTCTGTACTATGCCAAAATCAGCGGGGAGCAATGTCCTCAATACCGATGAACGTTCAGCTCTGTCTTTTTTTTTTTTTTTTTTAAATAACCTCCTGACAAAGACCATGAAACAAGAATGTAACAGACAGTGTTTCGCAGCTCAACATTTATTATTTAACATAACATGTTTCTAGTTTCAGTATTGGTGAAAGTGAAGGGACATCAGGGGTTTGAAACTTAACACGTAATTTCATTTTCGGCGTTCACGTCTCCCTGAAAGAGCCATAGCTTTAATAAAGCTATGTCGTCACAGCATCACTGAGAAGAGCTCCGTCGCATGAGAAGGTAAGCAAACCATTTTTTAGCTCTCGATTCAAACTTGCTCTCACTTCTTATCACACGAAAACGTGTCCTCCCATCCTCTCACCAATGTTGGCAACTACGCGGTTAACATGCATGAGTAATTTTGAGCATTGTGTGGTGAGTCGGGGACTTGCATGCGAGTGTTTGAGGAGGAAAGGGCACGGGACACTGCCTTCTCCGATTAAAGGTTTTATTTTATTTTAAACATTTATTCTATTTTTACATCCACTCAGGTCATCATTAAACCTTGCCAAACGGGAAATCGATCTCCATGCGACGGCTGCAGAAAGAGAATCTTCTCGGGAGCGTGGTTTGAGTCTTTCTGTTTTTATTTTTATTTATTTTTTCTTGTCTTAAACTAACTTATGGGTTGTAAAACTTGATGTAACTCCATCGTTTTTTAATCCATTGCTCAAACTTCAATTATGTCACGTCTCTTTCGTCTATTTTTTTTTCTTTCTGAGTTCTTCATTTCATTCGTTTATAAATGATCTATTAGGCTACTGTTTTCTGGTGCTATACCGCAACAGCTACAATCCAAAATGGACTTGATTTGAATGTGGCTATGATGTCTGTGTTGCTTGCACAATTGTGTAGCCTATACGTTTTAATATGACCTTTCTTAAAAAATAGCTAATTGTTCTAAGACTCACCAGAGAGTTGGTCAAATTCATAAGTGTTTAGGGCTTCGTAAAAGACACCAACAGATTACAAAGCGAAGGCAATCGATTAAACAAAAAGCATCGTTCAGTAGGCTACCGCTTATATTCCCAGTTTATCGCTCTTGTAGTTGTCATCCTCTGCCGGGACGTTGCTCTCCACTCCCTGAATTATGCAAGACAAGTGCAGCTTGCAGCGTTGTGGGGCCGTCGTAACGGGGCGCAAATGCCCCTTTATATTCTCAGCTCAGGGTCTTAACCTCAGCTGTATTTTGAATCCGCTTGGCTTGTTAAATGTAAGTTGTAGTACAATGGAAGCTTTTTATTACTTCTGGCAACGATGTCACACCTTGCTAGGCAAGATGCAATTCAGGGAAAATGTTTAGTGTGATAAATGTTTGATATTTGAAAAAAAGAAATTAGGTAATTTGTAATGTTATGCTCATCATATAACTCTTTTTATGAAATTATTATTATTGATATGTTTTATCATTTAGTGTCATTTGGCTAGTATAAATTATGTGCAGTTTGTTTAAGGCTATGAGTTCCTGAAACCTCGATGATATGTGATTTCATTCTTTTTTTCTTTTTTTTTTTTTGCCGGGGGAGGGAGGCGAAATGCGAGCAGCATTTTCAACAGAGATGCCCCCTCCCCTCTTTTTTGTGTGGTCTCATTAAGTGGGCATCCTGCTAGGTCTGCGGAGTTACACGGGAGCTGTCCAATCACTGCATTTGCACGGCTTGTTAGCGACATTTAATGAGGGTTCTCTGCACACCAAGTGAATGGCGCTTCAATGTTAGATTTACCTTGTGTCAACTCGTTACTTCTAATGAAGCCATTGGAGGTTTCGCTGGTGAATGGGGCCGGACGCCTGGAACTGCAGGCCCTCTTTCTTCCGGTTTCTCTTAGAGCTTTGGCTTGGCCCAAATCCATTGGCTATGTGTGGTGTGGGTGGTGAGGACGAGCACTGTATTTTGGGGGGGTCGAGGGGGAGTAACGGAGATATTCATATAAAATAGCTACGTTGTATCCATTTTATTGTGCTTTAACTGATTATGTTAATTTCAGGACCTAGGATTTCATCATATCCAGAACCTGTGAGTGATAAAGTAATTATTCCAGCCCCCACCGCGCGATAAATGTAAAAACCATTAGGATTATCCACTATAATCTACACATTTTTCCACAATGTTTTGATATTTAGGGATATTTTTGTCCAGTTGTTGCATGTGCAACAAGGCGTTTAGACTAATCTTGATGCAAATTCTTAATATAGTGTCTAAAACGGAATTCATTTAGTTATTTAAAATACAAGGTTACCAATTATATAAACAATAGTAATGATGTTTATACAATGTAGGCTAGTATGAAGACTCGAAGGAATTTTTTATTAACATATATTCTAAATGTGCTATTTGAGTTTGAGGCATGCAAAGTTAGATGCATCATGTTAATGATTTCGCGAAACTTTACATTCACTGACATTAACATAATACATTAACAGAGTAAGTTAAAAAAAAACGTTGAACTATTTTAAGACAGCGTGCAGCTAATTACACAAATTAAATGCTGGGACTGCGTACATATTGCCTTCTGGTTCTATAATTCAATTTCTCGAATTAACGATATAGCCAATTGTTTTTAAAACATGAAAGAAACTTGAAGAGATATCGATTTAATGTACACATAAAAATTGTTTTTAAGAAGTAGTAAGTATTCTGTGGTTATAGCCTATTAGCCTACATTTTCAAACATCCTGTTGTCATTCACTCGGGTCTTATGGTCTTCTTTTGCGTTTCGTATTGGTAGCCCTATCAGTTGTTTTGTCAATCTTGATCAGGTGCAAAGTGACACGATATAGGCTAACCATTGAAGGCGCTGTCATAACGACCCGGGGCAACCCGACAATAATTCATAAACGCTGGCAATCTGTCACGGGGCAGATTTGCGTCCACGGGGAGTTTTCTATTAGAGCTTTTAAATGGACAGAAAGTGAAACACAGGTCTGTGCCTAGTAAAACAATCCAATCTGGAGCAAATCGTCAACATGGGCAAATTATTAGCGCCTCAGTTGAGCTACTGCTGAAAGGGCAGACCCATTCATGAATTGTGCTCAATCTCTTCGTCCATTCTCCCTCAGTCATTCATGCTATAATGATTCAATTTGGGCATGTTGGAAAAATGAGACCCAAATTTGTGTGGGACATTTGAAGATTTTTCACTTTAACTAGGCTAATTCTTAATGAGTAATTAAAGTATTTAGTTTTGTCGTTAATTTGTCGTTGTCGTTAAAATTAAATTTGTCTTTTTTCCCTCTCAACATTTTTTTTTTTTTGATTGGAAATGGCACCAATAGCCTACATCTGAAGTAGAGTGATGGATGAAAAAAAAAAAAAAAAAAAACATTGAGATACAATAGACGTGCTGGATTTTCAAATATGAATTCGAGGGAAACTGAAATAATGGATGACTACATTATTTGGCGTAACAATACACTACATAAAATGTTGATCGGATAAAGATGTCCATAGTTTTTTGAATGAGCCTATCGACATCAATTGTTTTTTTTAAATATAATAATATATATATATATATATATATATATATATATATATATATATATATAATTTTTATTTTATCTGAATGTATATGACTAATAATGTACTAAAGTGCAACTTTTGAAGGAAAAGTGTAAAATGCAACCTGCCTTTATCTGCTCCGCCTATAAACTGCTGTGTTTAACATAAGCCTTTTCTTCGTCCTTCATTTGACAGGGAAGTCAAGAGACTGAAAAATTACACGAGTGAAACCAGCCTATTTAAATAGGACAAGCCCTGCTATTGTGGCTTGACGTGTTGTTGTACCTGTTATCGAGAATGACAGGGATTGTTGCTGGAGAATGATAAATAATAATTGCATTTTGTTTTGCACACATCAAGTGATTTTATTTCTTCTGGATTTTGACTTGAGATACATTTGAATATGTTATGTATTGAATGATGTGTTTAATAAGGTTGCTCGTTCTTATTTTTTTGTATTAGCATCATGTAATGTGTATTCATGTATCTTACAATTAAAACATCAGCGATTAATGCTGGCTGTTAAACAATAAAATATTTTTTTTTTAAAAAAAGCTAAAAACATTGGCTTATGTGTCTGAGTGACCTGTGCTAACCTACAAAATCTATCATTTGTAAAGTTTAGTAAGTTCTTTGGGAAGCATTAAACTCTGCTTATCTCTGATATCAACTGTAATTCCAACTCGCTACACTCATTGACCCATTAAACAAACAAAAAAGATGATGCAAAATATGTATTATTGATTGGTCAGATTTTGAGCTGCAATTTAAATACCTTTTCAGAAGTTTTAAGTTGGGGGGGGGGGGGTAGTCAAAAGTCATTTGTAGGCCTATGATTACTTGGCAGTGACTGAAAGTGTAGCATCTAGGACTTGTTATTCATGGGTGAAAAGCATCTGTCGAATAGAATTTCAGTCTAAAGAAGGGTATGACCACAGAGATCAATAGAGGACGTCTGGATTGCTACAGGAGATGCAATGCGCTACATCGCTGTGACAGGTACATGACGCTACTTTGAGGAGACGCGCGAAATATCAACAGGTATCTAGTATATAGGGGGGTAATTTTGAGATTTGAAATTGAACCATAGACAGTAAAAGGATTGAACTTGTAGTAACAGGAAGTAACACAAAATAACTCTCTTCAATTTTGGTCTGTTCCTTGAAAGGCGGAGATTTTTTATTTTATGTTTTACGCAGGCTATTAACAGGATAGCATATAGAGCCCGATCTCATGAAAGTTCGGGCTGTGTTGGAGCATACAGGATGCTATGTTTGTTATTAAACTGTTTCTCATCAATGAACCTATATATAGTCTACATTGTCTGATATAAATGGGCCTACTTTCATAAACGTAACACATTTCTTTCTTAATTATTTGTAGATTGTATGAGAATGTAGGCTATAATGTCATAAAGTGAAGCTAGAGGCAAAGGCTTTATCCAGGGGGTTATAGTCAAACTTTTGACTTATTTACGACTTTTCAATTCACAATGAAATTCGATTTCCTTTGGAAAGCTGTCCATTGTACCCAGTGACAATATTTCCCTCGTGTTTGGATAGCATCCACTTCCAGAGTTGATCGATATTAAGAGTTCACTGAGAAAAAAAACTCAATGTTTGCACAACATTGTTCTGGCGAAATCTTGAAACACAAATGCAATTAGATGCCAGTCTAACTTCTGTAACGTATACCACCCCTTTAAGATATAGGCCCACTTGAACACTATTGTTTTTGCAGATTAACGCATATGTATTTTTAATTAGATCACTTAATAAAATTATTAAGAGATACTCAAGCAGATGTCAAAACGTCTTAAAAATGTTTATGATTGAATGACTGAGCCCAGTGCGCGACGCACTATCCCGTGGTGGACAGATGAAAAATTAATGACTGACAGCTGTAACCTGTAGCCATGCCTGCCCTCGGTCTTTCAATTGCGGAGATGGTCATCACATCCACCGCTGACGAATCATCTCAGACTATTTGCTCAAACACGTCTATATTGATTTATGACCTGCAATTCCCTGATAGCTAGACAAATAGGCCTACAAAGGGTGAACGAAACCCCAAATCATGTAAATAATTCTCTACATTTTTTGGATTTCATGGGTTGCAGCCTAGTCTCATTTGCCAGAATAATAGCAGAGTGATTATCGTTTAGCTTAGGCTAAAGAGTTCTCAGACTGTTTGCTGTGAACGCGCCAAATATGCATGCTCGTGCACACAGACAAGGTGAATCTGAAGGCAAAATGTCGCGCAGAGGTAATGGGAAGTTATTGGGAGGTTGTCCTACCATATTGTCCTGCAGGTCTGTGGTTCACGGCGGGGTTAAAGAAACTGTTGATATCTTTGTTTGCTCTCTCCGCCAAATCCCTTTCCTTCCTAAAAAAGGATGTGTCCTGCCCAGCAGCGCTGCGCTCACCGGCTCGCACCCCTGTTTGTTTTTATAGGTTTACAACATTGACCAAAACAGGAACACAAATAATATTGCGACGTCATAAACAGCACGGTATGCACTTGTCTTTTGTGAAAGCAAACACCCGTCCTCGAACTAAAGTGAATTCTTTGTCTGGCTATTTTTGTCTGCAATAACCCAGAAAATCCTTGTACTTCTGCCTATTTCCGACTAACGTTTGTGCGAAAAATAGGCAGCCTACATTTGCTCAGTCTTCCTGCAGTAGGCTATTAACCAATGAATGTACCTTTCGATAATGAAAGTATACCTTTCAAGTGAAATATGTGCTATTAAACGTTGATTGGGTTGTTGATAATAGGATACACAAACCATAAGTTATCTTTATTTAAAAGTATTCTGGCAAATAATTTAAAAGAGTGCTGTGATGTTATGAATGACTGTGCACGGCTGTATAAACAAACCAAATATTAAAATTGACTAATTGTAGGCCTATACTGTTGTTGACATATATGAAGAGTTCAGATGCAAAAGCCTCTGAATGCCATTTGAAATTTTCTTCTTTAATGATGATTTTTATCAAACTTGTATATTTAAGTTCAGTAATTTTACTCAAATAACAATTAATAGGTAATTATCATTGCCATTTAAGTGAAATCACTGAACTTAAATATAAGCTTGATAAAAAGGATCATTCTAGAAGAAAATTTCAAATGGCACTTAGAGGCTTTTGCATCTGAACTCTTCATATGTTAATTTAAAAATGGACTTTGAATTTTATAATGAAATATATTTCATGATATCTTTTAAATCATGGCAAATTATCAGTTGTACATGTAGCTACTCCTATAGAGCTAGACCTACCTCCATAGAGTTATCTATGTTGTCTTGCTATGTTGAAAGCTATGGTTCATATTACTGAGGAGCTTGCAGTATTTGACCCATCAGAACAATAACATTGTTTGTCAGCCTGTCACTACTCGGATGACTGAGCTGCTAGCTGTGTGTGAGTGTGAGAGTGTAAGTGTGTGAGTGTTAGAGTGTATGTGAGAGCGACTGTGAGTGTATGAGATAAAGAGACAGAAGGGGAGGGAAATATCGTTATGTCCTCTGTATGCTACAACATGACTTGAGGCTCTTAGCAATTTTTAGTTTTCTCTCTCTCTCTCTCTCTCTCTCTCTCTCTCTCTCTCTCTCTCCCTCTCCATCTCTCCCTCTCTCTCTCTCTCTCTCTCTCTCTCTCTCTGCATGTTTGCTTGTGTTGATATTGCCTCTATTAGCCTCATTAGATCTGTCTGCAAAGCATCACAAACAAGCTGAACATCATTGGAGCTCACATCTCTCACATCTAGGATTTTTAGGTTTTGTAAGGTGTAACATAACAAAACCTAAAAATCCTAAATGTTGTACTGTTGTTTGTATTATACTGTTGTGCACTGTTTTTGTTTAGAAATCTTCAGAATAATAATACATGTTTATATAATGGATGGCATATTTTACTAGTTTTATTTTAAATTTATCAAAATTACATTAAAGACACTTATAATGATAAAACGTGTCCGTCAAACAATCCTGAAAAGAAAACCCATCCACACTTTACGCATGCTAAACAGCACAACCATTTTCAATAAGAAGAAAAAGAAGAATTGAGCGCCAAATCAGCATATTAGAATGATTTCTGAAGAATCGTGTGACACTGAAGACTGGAGAAATGATGCTGAAAAGAGTCTAAAAGTGCAGTGGAAGGTAACTTTTCCCACTTAATAGATCCTTAAATAAAACATAGTGAGCTATTAACATTCAACCAACTGACTCAATCAAATAAATGAGGCAGGAATGTGCTACATGACTCCACTGGACGATGTGAACAATAACAAAATGTAGTGCTGTGTAATCCTGTATCTAAAGTATAAATCCTAAATGAAATTCCATAAAAGGATTAGTGGAGTGTCACAGAGGAGCCGGTTAAGAGTACCAAAGGTAATTTGTAACCTTAGCAACTACTGGAAATGGGGATTATCACAGCCATGTGGGCCGCCTTTGTGGATTGGGCCAGAGTGAGGTTGCCCAGGCTACAACCCGGATTCCTAAATCATCAGAGTCAGATTTATACATTCTAATTTATATAGAGGAATTAATTCTAGAAAATTTCACAGTGTGAGTATTGATACATGTTATTCATTTTGTCATATTCATTTTTGGCAACCGTTTACTCTTGCTGCCACATTTTTTTAAATAAAATAAAACAGAAAGAGATTTTTTGTGTTGCTGAACGTTATTAAAAACCAAAGCTGATCTATGATTTGATTCGTAAGTGGATTTAAGCTTCAGCTCAAAGCAAGAAACTCACAGTCTAACACTTAATTGTGGAGGCATTATCCAGCAAGTTTAACCACTTTCTTGTTGGGACTTCTCAAATGTCTTATTGCTTAATCATGTGGA